GTTTCCTAGTTTTAGATACTGTTGGGTCTTGATCACAACTGGAAATGAGCAATTTGTGATCTCCTTGTGGATCGGTCGTTTTGTCATTCTAAAAATATTGGCACTTCTGCATTTTCTCTCAGATAATGCACCACTTCACCCAGAAAATTTGCACCCCTGTATTTCTGTCAGATTATGCACCATTTTTTAGGCATTCTCACATTTATTTCTTTTGTTTATGTTGGTATGACACAAAAAAGTGGAAAAACAAAACCCCATAAATGGATTGGACAAAATTATTAGCACCCTCAATTTAATATTTGGTAGCACATCCCTTGGAAAAAAATAACTGAAATCAGTCGCTTCCTGTAACCATCAATGAGTTTCTTACACTGCTCTACTGGAATTTTGGACCACTCTTCTTTCACCAACTGGACCAGGTCTCTCAGATTGGAAGGGTTCCTTTATCCTTTGTCCAACTGCTGTTTTGAGATCTCTCCCAGGTGCTTTATGGGATTGAGATCTGGACTCGTTGCTGGCCACTTTAGTAATCTCCAGCGAAACCATTTCTGGGTGCCTTTTAACGTCTGCTTTGGGTCACTGTCCTGCTGTAAGACACATGACCTCTGATAGAGACCCAACTGGGCTTTACATTGCACCCCAGAATTCTTTAGTAGTGTTCAGATTTCATAAAGCAATGCACACAGTAAAGACATCCAGTGCCCGAAGAAGCAAAGCAACCTCAAAACATCAGTGAACCTCCACCATGTTTGATTGTAGGGGCTGTATTATTTTATATAAAGGCCTCATTTCTTTTTCTGAAAACAGTAGAATGATGATGATTTACCAAAAAGCTGTCATTTTGTTTAGTCTGTCCACAGCACATTCTCCCAAAAGGATTTTGACTTCCTCAGCTAAGTTTTGTCAAACTCCAATCTGGCTTTTTATGTTTGTGTCAGCAGTGGGGTCCTCCTGGGTCTCCTACCATAGCGTCCATTTTTATTAAGATGGCGATGTATAGTATGAACTGACACATTTGTACCCTGTGTCTGTAGGTCAGCTTGAATTTGCCTGGAAGTTGATTGAGGTTCTTTATCCACCATTCGAACAATCCTTTGTTGCAATCTTTGATCAAGTTTTTCTCTTTCATCCACGTCCAAGGAGATTAGCTCCAGTGCCATGGGCTGTAAACTTATTGACAATGATGCACACAGTGGACACAGAAACATTTAAGATCTCTGGAGATGGGCTTTTACCTTTGAGATTGTCCATGCTTTTCCAGAATTTTTGTTCTCAAATCCTCAGAAAATTCTTTGCTGCGTTTTCTCTTCTCCTTGCTGTAGTTCTCACAGATAGACACACAACAGAAAGGTTAAGTAAATTTTTCACCATTTATACCTGGTTGCCGGTGTGATTTCTATATTGTTAGCACCTGTTGATTAATACAGGTGAGTTTAATTACAAATTACAGGACCATCACAAACTTGAAATGCAATTATTTCGGAGTTTTATGTGGAATGTGTCAGATTTGGCTTCTGTTTCTCCACTTTTTGGTGTCTTACAAATACAAACAAAAGAAATAAACATGAGAATGCCAAAGCAATTGTAGATGCAACAATTTTCTGGGTGAAGTGGTGCATTATCTGACAGAAAGGCAGGGGTGCCAGTATTTCTGGTTATGACTGTATGTATATATGTGTGTGTATGTGTATATATACATATATATTTTTTTTTTTTATTTCTATGCACTACTGCTGCCCTATGATGGACAGCTGTGTCATCCAATCAGAAGGAGAGGAAGAGTGCACAGTTCACTAAAAGCATTCTTATCTGGAGAATAGGGGACATCAGAACATTTCAGATTCCTATCCACCTGTGCAAATAAAACAAACAACCTTCTGCACTCAAAATAGATATTCTAGCAATGATGGAACTTGGATCTTCAACAAGTCGATTTATGGCAAGACTTTATGGCCACTAAATAAAGAGAAACTGCAACTAGTGCTAAATGAACTAAAAAATAAACCGCACACACAAACTAGATAATTCCCCACCTAGTGTGAAGAATGAGAACAGGCTTCTTCTCCAAGCTTTAAAATCGTTGTACCACCAAACACCAAGAAATGCACCTAAGGTGATATAAGATGTTCTCTTACCGACTCCCCATGACCATCTTAATTAAAAGAATGGTCACAAAGGGCTTGATGAAGATCTTTCAGGGCTTCCAAGTCTCCTTCAGTGCTGGGCAGAATGGTACTTAGGACCGCCGTCAGTCATAAGCATATAAGTCGGTGTGCACCAAATTTATTTAGCAGAATAAAAAAGAGAGAACCTCTCCATAGTGTAAAAACCTCTTAAGCTTTTATTAAATCAACACGTTACACTCACTTGTTAAAAACAAGATATGCGCATGTAATAGTAAATACTTGGCCGGCATCCAAACAGTCCATTCATGTATGTCAATGATGTCAACATGAGGTTCCACCTAATGCATTTCATCATCAAAAGATGTCTTCCAGGCCAACGGGCTCCATGTTGCGTCATCGTGCATTTATTCAAAATGGAGTAAACCAAGCCTCATTTCATTATCAAAATAAATTCACATAAATTCAATATTAAAATAATGTTCATCAGATGGCATTGTATAGACATTTGGGCTTGGCCTAGATGGGAGGTCTAGTAGAAATATCTAGATAAAATGTCTCGATTTCACCAGAAAGAAAAAAATATTTTCTTCCTTCCATTTATGTGCACTAGGTGACACTAGAGAGGTTGTTTTGGGTATAATACTTGTTGGCCGTAAGGGGGGAGTTATTTAACATATTGCTATTTATTTATTTATGTTTAGTTTACTTTATTATTGAATTTATGGCTTTGCTATTTATTTTGATAATGAAACAGGGTTTGCATATCGTGAGCTCGGTTGTGCTCACTGATGGTTTTAATATCTTACCGGCATTATCAGCTTTGAGGGCAGTGGTCTCCACCCTGTTGTGTGAAGGCTTCACTGCCATCCAGAATGAGGCTTGGATTAATTCCATCAGTGCTCAGAACGAGGCTTGGGTTGTGAACCGAAATGAGGCTTGGCTTACTCCATTTTTGTATAAATGCACGATAATACATGGCACCGTTGCCGCAGAAGATGTCTTTTGATGCCAGCCATTGTAGTCATTGTGCACCATTACAACTTTCTAGCCACTGACGACATAAAAAAAAAAAAAAGATGTCGTCAGTTGATAAGGACATCAGACACCTGCGCAGGATCCTTGCTTGCCCCTCCCTGTCAGCACTGGGGTCACATTAGCTGAGTGAGAAACTGAGGGAGGAGAGAAACAATGGAATACTAATCAGTACCAGTGTGCAAAGGTGTATTTGCTTTTGGAAGAATAAATCACCTTTGATTTTGGGTGTCCCACGAATGCAGATGTTGTAGTGTTCTGTAAAACTATTAGTTTAGTTTTTTACATTTTGTACTGGGGGCCTCCAGATTAAAGGGTGCCTTGACCCAGAATTTTAAAGGGTGCCTTGACTGAAAAAAGGCTGACAAACACTGAACTAACCCACACTGAGGAGGAATGGCCAAACAAAGAACGTTTTTTTCTTTTTTTTTTTTTTTTTGTTAAAGGTTAACTCCACCTTTCTTGCCATTTTACATGTTAAAACCAATATTTGCAGTGTAACGTTACATGGTGTCACCACAACAGAGGGACTTGTAGTTAACAATGGAACGTAAGTACGGTGATAACCACACTTATAGTTAATTAATACTTCACGTAGCACTATAGTCGAAAGACTATACCTCAGTATGGACCAGCTACTACAGAAAGTCTACAAGAGTCTGTGTGCTGCACCACAATCCACTGATCGCACTTGGAATGTTTGCAGGCTCCAATGCAAAAATATAATAAATACAAATATGGCATTTTGGTTTTTTTCAAAAGGTGGGATGAGCTTTTAATTCTTTTGCATATGCCTGAACGTTAAAGGTAAACTACTGGGAAAGATGTGAGCTGCGAATCCTGAACTCATCTTTATAAAATTAATGTTAGTTCCTTGGTTATTTTCTGATCCAGTAGGCTTCAATACTCTGAGTCAATGACCTAGAAACAGTGGTGTATCTAGTGCATTTGACACCTGGGTTGAATTATCATTTTAACCCACCTTTTTCCACAATCCTCTATACCAGTGGTCTCCAAACTGTGGCCCTGGGGCCAGATTCGGCCCTTTGCTTGCCTTTATCCATCCTTTGCGGCAATAGTCTTCACACTGATACAAAATGCTATTCCTCCCACTGACACCAACAATTGGCCATAATTCTTACCACTGACACCAAAAATGGGGTACTATTCATCCCCCTAATTTCAAAGGCGCACTGTTTACTCCCACTGAAGCCAGGACAATGTCTACCCACACTGGTCACAGTCCAGCCCCCTAAAGTCTGAAGCACAGTAAATTGGCCCTTTGTTTAGAAAGTGTGGGGACTCCTGCTCTAGACTTTAAAATTATTTTCAGTAATAAATATGAAATTACATAATACTAATTGACAGAAAAAAAAATAGAAGACGATGTCCTCTTGACTTGACAATACTTAGGGAAAAAATGGTAATCTTGACAATACAGGCGTCACAAATGGGCAATTATATATAATAAACAGGCACCAAATAGTCACGTTACAATATTTTGACAGCAAATGGGCAACCATTGCAATAAATAGCATTGCAAAGACCCCTACAGAGCAGTAAAGTGAGGGGTGGGCAGAGGGGTAAGAGCATTTCCGCTGAGTGACTTAGGGAGAACACCTCCCTGCCTTGCAGCTGGAAAGAATCAGACTGTCAGCAATGGCAATCTACATATTACACTCAATACATTTCTCTTAAATATTATTGATCATAGTAATGAATGTTGTTCAGAAATTGAACTGGGTATATGGTATGTGGCCAGTTTAGATGAAATAAGTGTTTCTTTATAGTATAGATACCCTGATATGTGTCTGATGTCTGTCTTCTGTTGATTCTTTGCAGAAAGACGAGGTTTGTGGGAACCTCACACTGCAGCATCACATGCTGGAGCCGGTCCAGCGGATTCCTCGCTATGAACTTCTCCTGAAAGATTATTTGAAGAAATTGCCGGAGGACTCGCTTGATAGAAAGGATTCAGAGAGTATGATATTTAATATCCAATTCTTGTTGGATGCCATTATAGCACATTTGTCTTTTAGTTCTCCATCTCCTATAAGATCAGTTCTGTTTGGTAATGACTGTTTGTGTGTGAATCGCAGTGTACACTGAAAGCTATTTTGCCTCTGACAATTAGTCACCTTAACATAACCTTGCGGTGCAGGATGATGAAGACCAATCTCTACGCTGAATGAATGTTTAATATGTGTAATTGGATCTCGTTACAGAGTCCCTTGAGCTTATTTCCACTGCCGCAAATCACTCAAATGCAGCCATTCGGAAGATGGTAGGTGAAATCATGCTCTGTTTTGTGCTATAGCAGAAGGTTTTTTTTTAAAGTAGAACTTTAGTCAGAAAATTAAGTCCTGCTAGATCACTTCAGGCTGACCCGTTTTGCAGGTATAGCTGTGTGAAATATTACAAAAAAGTGCCTATACTGTTTAAAATCCAGAAATACACTTTCACCCTGCTCTGCACATGCTCAGTTTCTCTCTATTTTTCGGCACTGTGTGAAAAATGTAGTGGCCGATCTGCTGACAGCTTAAAGATTTACTACTGCTCAGGGGTTCTGAGCTTCATCTAAATGGCAGCCGCCAGCAAGTAGAAACAGGAACAATGCTGAAGGCAATTTACAGCACACACCTATTTTGTTGGTACAATACACTTATTCATGTTGAATGTATGTTCCCTCCTAAAGAACATTATTTTTTTTCAAGTTGTTATGGTTAAGGTTCCACTTTGAGGGGTACCTCTCTCTTTCTAAAAAATAGGATATTGTAAGACAGGACTGGGTGATAATGATTATTACTTCAAACCCCCAAACAAAAATGTAATATATTGCAGCTTACCAGACCTAAGATGAGTGGCTTCATTAGTTTTCAGATTTTTTAGTAATTTTTTAACTTTATTTTCCAAGGAACAGTCTGTTATGGCTGCAAGTTGGGTAGCAGTACATTTGTTGGAACAGGGTGGCTGCCCACCAACCATCCACCAACCATCCACTACTCTATCCATCTGGACCATCCAAGGTTGCATGGCACTCATCAGTGAACAGGACTGTTTGAAAATTAGTCTTCATGTATTTTTCTGCCCAATGCAGCTGTTTCTGCTTGTGAACATTGGTTAGTGGTGGCTGAATAGAAGGTTTATGCACAGTTGCAAGACTCTGAAGAACTCTACACCTTGATGTCCGTGGGACTCTAGAGGCACCAGCAACTTCAAATATCTGTTTGCTGCTATGTAATGGTATTTTAGCAGCTGCTCTCTTGATCCGATGCATGGATCTGGCAGAAATCTTCCTCAATGTGCCTTTATCTGCACTAACCCATCTGTGCTCTGAATCAGCCACAAATCTCTTAATAGTGTGATGATCACGCTTAAGTTTTCGTGAAATATCTAATGTTTTCATACCTCGTCCAAGGCATTGAACTATTTCACTCTTTTCGGCAGCAGAGAGATCCTTTTTCTTCCCCATATTGCTTAAAAATGGTGCTCTGCTTAATAATGTGGAACACCCTCCTTTAGTATTTTTTCCTTAAATTGGGCTCACCGGCCAATCTAATTATCACAGGTGTCCGAGATTGTTTTCAGTGATCAAAAGAGCCCTGACACACAATGCCATCCATGAGTTAAACTGAAAAACAAAATATTTAATCTTTGTGACACTTAAATAGAATTTGCATAATAATTTAGAACGTGGTGTAAGTTTGGACTTATTTTAAAGTGGCCTTTACTGTATTGGGGAACACCATGGCTGATTATTGATGCAGGCATAGATGGTGAATGTGACTCCCCCTGGTCCTCTACATCCTCTGCTTTCAGACTCGATGGGGCAAGTTGTGATGATTTTCTGATCAAAGCAGGCTAAAGCAGAGCTAAATGCATTTAGACCAGCCTCCTGAAGGACCTGAGGAGAAGATTCAGACCATGGCAACTAAGGTAAGTATTTGTGCCTTTAGTTGCAATTTAATACTAATGTATTCTGGTAGTATATATGCAGATGTCCCTCCTACTATCTTAAGAAGTAAACCTTTCCTCTAAGAGACACGTAGAGTAATCAAAATAGCCTTTCAAATCCTCTTTTTCTTCTGGGCACATATTTGGAGGCAGAAACAGTTGAAATATTATATCAAACTGGTATTTGACAATAGTTATATGTCTCTAAAGAGCCCTAATAAGGATACATAGAGATAGAGGCTGGGAGGTCTATTTCCAATATTTTTAATGTATTTAATTTCAACATATAACTTTTGATATGGATGTGACTTTTAACATTTTAAAAAGATGTTAAGGTGTTGCAGAATTTAAATCTTTATGGTACCTTCTCATTCTTTTTAAACATAATCTATGTCAAAATAATCACTGGGATGTTGGTAGGGAGCTAAAGCTCCTTAAATTGAAGGTCCAGCATACACTATTTTGCCAAAAGCATTGGGACACTCTTTCAAATCATTGGCTTCAGATGTTCCAATCTCCTCCATGGCCACTGGTGTATAAATTCAAGCACCTAGGCATGCAGACTGCTTCTACAAACATTTGTGAAAGAATGGGTCGCTCTCAGAAGCTCAGTGAATTCAAGCGTGGTACCGTGATAGGTTGCCACCTGTGCAATAAGTCCATCCGTGACATTTCCTTGATACTAAATATTTCACAGTCAACTGTTGGTGGTATTATAACAAAGTGGAAGCAACTGGGAACAGCAGCAGCTCAGGCATGAAGTAGGGGTAGGCCATGTAAAATGACAGAGAGGGGTCAGCACATGCTGAATCGCACGGTGCCCCGGAAGTCGCCAACTGTCTGCAGAGTCAATAGCTAAAGATCCTCAAACTTTGTGTGGCCTTCAGATTAGCACACCAACAGTGTGTAGAGAGCTTCATGGAATGGGTTTCCATGGCCAAGCAGCTGCATCCAAGCCTTACATTACCAAGGTCAATGCAAAGCATTGGATGCAGTGGTGTAAAGCACGTTGCCACTGGACTCTAGAGCAGTGGAGATGTGTTCTCTGGAGTGACGAATCACATTTCTCTGTCTGGCAATCCGATGTATGTGTCTGGGTTTGGTGGTTGCCAGGAGAACAGTGCTTGCCTGATTGCATTGTGCCAAGTGCAAAGTTTGGTGGAGGGGGGATTATGGTGCAGGGTTGTTATTCAGAGGTTGGGCTTTGCCCCTTAGTTCTAGTGAAGAGAACTCTTAAGGTGTCAGCATACCAAGACATTTTGGACAATTTCATGCTCCCAACTTTGTGGCAACAGTTTGGGGGTGGCCCCTCCCTGTTCCAACATGACTGCGCACTCAAGGTGCAAAGCAAGGTCTATAAAGACATGGATGAGTGAGTTTGGGGTGGAGGAACTTGACTGGCCTGCACAGAGTCCTGACCTCTACCTGACAGAACACCTTTGGGATGAGTTAGAGCGGAGACTGCGAGCCAGGCCTTCCCATCCAATATCAGTGCCTGACCTCACAAAAGCACTTCTAGAAGAATGGTCAAACATTCCCATAGACATACTCCTAAGCCTTGTGGACAGCCTTCACAGAAGAGTTGAAGCTGTAATAGCTGCAAAGGGTGGGCCAACTCAATATTGAATCCAAAGACTGGGATGCCATTAAAGTTCAAGTGTGTGTAAAGACAGGTGTCCCAATACTTTTGGCAATATAGTGTATCATCAGTTTCTTGTAAATGGAGGACATAGCAATTTAAGAATCCTAAAACTTTATGTCCTTGTCCTCTGTATCCAAATTATGTGAGTTATCCATTTTGCTCATTACTGTTCCCTCTATGCTTCTGTTCCCCCTGAGGCTGGATATGCATGATCTGATCATCCGCATTATAAACACTGCACTTAGCGTATGTCTGACCTCGATACGTAGACTGTGTGGTAGCTTAGCCTAGGCATTTTTTCTTCCCTTCACAGTGGTTTTTCTGCTGCTGTAGCTATAAAACATAGACCTATTTTCAGAATCATCTGGGGGTTGGGTTGGAAATTTAGAGGAAGTTGTTGTCAGCGATATGAATGTTTAGCCTCAATGGTTAACCAGGGCTGTTGCATACAATTCAGAAATGCCAATATAATATAGTTTCTCAAGAGCTTAGAGAATTTCAGTAAATTAATTATTTAATGTCTTCATCTTTTAAACCTGATCATTATGCTGATGTTTATTTACAAACCAAATGCTGTGGTTCTTTATTAAGGGAAATGACAGTTTTTTACAAACTTTTTTAAAATAAATAGTTTATTTTATTATTTATTTTTTTTACAAGCATTCATTTTATTAAAGCTTCTACACGTTTCATTTGCAAATTATGTTGGGCTTTCTAAAATAAAGCCCAGTACTGCTTTAATGCATTCTAATGACTGATGATGTTAATCCACTAGTTCAGACATATTTATCTCCTTAAAAAATATAGAAAGCACTTCTGATGATTTTTTTTCTTCACTTTTTTTTATTCGTGATGAAGCCTCTATATAGGAGGTCGAAACAAGTTGGGTTTTGGGGGTTGTTTTTTCTGTAATAGCACTTTATAAGAATCGGGAGGAGCACTGGTATCCTTTCAAGTGACACAAAAATAGGAGTTCCTTTGGCAAGTGGAGAGAGGAAATCTCTTTATTATTTAGGGACTGGATCCAGGCTGACTGGCCTGTACACAGTTCTGACATATGGGCTGTGGTGTGTCTGGCATTAGGGAGCGCAGTCAAACCCTTTAGTAGCCACAGACCTCATTAGAGGATTGTTGTCCAACCTCTAGTTAGAAGAAGTCAGTCTATATTAGTGATCACAATAACAGCCACGATTTTCTCTCACTACAACCAAAAACTTGCAACAGTGAGCCCTACTTTATGTACACAGTGGAATGATCCCCAGTTGCTAGTAATATGGTTGAAGGCTTTCACATTGTATAGGACAAAGAGAGTACTTGGTGCACTGCCTGCACGTTAGGCAGACAAATGGTGGAGTGAATTTTACAAGTATTACAGTGTCACTAAATCCCTAATATAATATAAATTGGTAAATACCTCTTCATCAGCAGTATATAGCAGTCTTGTGACTTCTATCAGTGTCCATATTTTATTTTCCTCTGACTTTCCTATGAGGCTGCATAACCCCTGAACCTCTGCCTGGACGGTGCTGATTGGCCCTGTGCTGATCACATGCACCCTTCAAAGGAAAAAACTCTCTAGCAAAACACACTAAACTGAGCATTTGCAGAGTGACTCCTAGAGCTCTGTACTATCAACAGATCGATTGAGGACAGTAAAAGAAGGGCAGGATCAGAGAAGACAGGATCAA